TATGCTTACACTCAGGCAAGTGTTTCATGCATATCACTATCCTTAGTCCTGTATAGTCATACGCTCGGATGTATTTCATTTATAATTTCTAACAAAAATTGCCATTCAGAATCTAAATACTCTCCTTGGGGGAAAAACCAAAAATGAAGGGAAGAATAGGGGGGGGAATGAAGGAATTGGTCTGTAATTACCTAAATTGCCTAGTGTTCAATTAGTTCCCTACAATTGCTGGTTCCTTCAGTATAAGTATGGACTATGGTCTTCTTTGCAACCTTGTCAAAATATGTTCTTTGTGTTGTAATTTGTCAGATATTCCAAGTATGCAATCAGTTTATATTGAGTCGGCCGATTTTTGGCTTTATTCTTTTGATTCAGAATGTATGATTTTCTTGTTCTATACTTGAGCTTTACGCAATATGAAAGAAATTATCTCGTCTTTTAGCTGCGTTAGCATGTAACCATTTTCATGTTACACTAAATTAAACCATTCCCTGCTTTTAGTGATTGATATTATTTTGTATATGTCGTTCATACTAATGAAGATCTTTTGACGACTGATTTGCGTGAACCTACATGTTAGTAGGAATCTTTATCTGATCCCAACTTTAAGTCTAGGATAGCAGATGCACATCATCCCTTGTCTTGCGTGACCTTGAATTTGTTAGAAAAACTTGAGATGCCACAAATATATCTCTTGAATATTTTTGAACTGCTCATTCTCAAATTCAACAACTGCAAGTTGTCACGACCTCAATTTCCAAATCTAAAAGGAATATTGGAGCTGGACTAAACCTGTGAAAAATCCTCCAAAAATATATATTCATTAAAAGACCATCAAAATAATCTCTTCATTGAACTAAAACCAACAATAAATAATCTCTATAATCCCAAAAATCAACATTAATCCAATTAACTTGATATAAACAAATATTCATCAATTTGAAATAAAACTCTACCTAAAGGAAAGAAATATCGTAATTACAAAACTCTCAATTCATCAACTACACAAAGACTTTATTTAACTCTCACCTAGAAGATAATAAGTTAATAACAATCCTGAATTTTATTCCTTGCTCCGTTCTAGGAATTTGAAAAATCATCAATTCCACCTAATCCCGAGTCTCTGAAAAGAATGAAAACAACACAATGAGTTCACAACTCAATAAGTGGATAAATTCGTACATTGAACACTGATTTGTAAAAATTTAAATATTTCAACAAATGATAAGCAAAATATAAGAATGATAGAGAATCATCAATGAACTCTAGTACTTGATGCAAATATTTAAGAAAACTTAAAAATTATGAAATGGAAATAAGCAGGCTACGTCTCAATGTGGTCAACACTTTATATTCTGATTGACTTGGTAAACCCCACAATTATTAAACACGTGGTTCCGGGACGGTGAGACCCAAATTTAGGCTCTTAGAGCTAAAATAAAACATCATTGAGGCACATTGAGCCCTGTTTTAATAACTTGCTTATATCCAACATATACCGGTATATTGACCTAAAATGCATATGCTTTAAGAAAATTAAACAAAGTTCGTAAAACTAAATACGTTATACAAAAATACCAAAGGTCAACCAATAGTGAAATCAATCAACCACATATGCATCTCAATCTACTACTATATGAAAAGACATAACAATTGACAAAGAAAATAAGCATAGACTTATACCAAATATTCATGTGCGTCACCTCCGAATCAACATTTAACATGTGAGTAAATCACACAAAAGGATATAATCCACCAGAAATAAATTCGCATATTAATATAATTTTATATGAAAAATACGCAGTACACAATGCATGAATTCACCACTTACACTAACACGAAAGACTATTAGAATACCAGTCACGACGCCTCCTCAAAGTCACTTGAAACCCCTTAAGAATTCATATAAAGCAGTCATCAATACAAACATCCTATTTAACATTAACACATATTAAGCCATTCATCTATATTATATTAATTAATGAACTTCAAATATTTGTAGGTTATCTAGCTTACTAGTTTGCATCCTATGCAAAATTAACTTGTAGTCTCTAGTCCAAAGGCCAAACATCTCATACTTTAGTTCCTATCTTTCTACTACACGATCACAACCATGATTACTATTTTATTTAATAAAAACTCGAGTAAAGAGGATATCAACAGGAGCTACACTAGACTAAGGAATTCATCCATGGCCAAGATAATAAAGACCAACTAACTAATGAAGCCATGGTTGATTACGAAATATAGAGCAAGATCAATAAATCAATTTGAGGAGAAGAAAGAAGATGGTGACGGCAAATAAAGCCCTAATCCATCTACAATTTGCTATGGATAGAAAATAGGATTTTTACCTTATTCCTCGTGTAAAACTGATCAAGTCGCCATTCAAAGATTTGATTTTTTTTCTCTTTGTGGCGAGACAGGGACGGGAGCAAAAGAAATAGGCTGACGGGAAGCAAAGAAGAAAATAGATGGGGTAGGGTTTTGGATATTTATAACAATCCTTTTTGCTATTAGAACCATCTTAACAATTTTTGCATAAAAGTCCTTTTACTTTTCCTTATATATATAACTAATAAAACCTAGAATTATTACACAAGTAGGGATGCATTCAGTCCGGATACAGCTCGGTATGATACTTACCATATCCATATCTGCTTACCCATCACGGCTACAGATATAGATCTGGATACAGATACATATATGGATACGGATACAGATATATAAGCAGATATGCATGCGGACACAAAATGGATATGAGAAAGCTAGATAGTATTGAGGAAAAAATATAGTTCATTTGATACAAAAGAGTTAATTAATATGTTCATTATATCTGAAAAGCTATAATTAGACATATTGATCATCAAAATTATTCCCAAAACCATAAGCTGAGAATTAAAACTCGTGTAACAGTATGACTAATATGTATTCAGATATTTCGAATACGGATCCGGATATATCACTACAAAGCTAGATCCATAACCATATCCGATCGGTTATAGATTTGAGTGACCATGTCCATACCCTAACGGATACAGTTATGGATAGTTTCTCAGATACAGATACAGTTTAACACCCCTGACTGCAAGTCTGCAAGTGTTCCCTTCTTTCTAATATTGTAGTATAATTGATTGATCCAAATTGAGGGTAATATACTAAAGAAATGTTTATCTTCTGAAGCTATTCTTTCTCAGTATATACCTATTTTGATACTATATTTTATACTATGTTGGAAACAGTGAACTAGGAACTAGAAACTTTGATCATCTATCGTTATTAGAGATTTAGAATTCCTTGTCTGACTAGATCCCTAGGATTTGGTAACCAGTCATAAGTAATTATGGGCCCTTAATTGATTAGACTTCCTCCTTTGATGATTTGAACTAATGACTCGAGCAGTAAGTATTCAAAAAGGATGAAGTCTATCTTTCGGATAAAATTAGGATAAGTATTCAATTAGAAAAATGTTTAATCAGGAAAATATATAGTTTCATTTATTAGGATAAGTGTTCGAATTACAGATTTGTAGTCATGCTTTTTAACACAAAATAGTAGATTGGCTAGGTTAAAACATTCTAAGATCGTTTGTGCATTGCATGTTTTAGTATACTTATATGAGGTTGTAGCAGCCACTTACTATGTCTATCACGAGATGCTAACCATGGCGGTTCACATCTAGTTATTGATACATTTATTTGGTTAGCTGATGCAACCATCAAACCCATGGATCTAAATATTTGAGTCTGGTTAAGTTTCAACCCACTTTAATTCTTGGATGCTGAATAGCTCGCCAGTTTGGTTTTACCGTTGGTAGAAAATCAAACGATCAAAGTAGCATTTTTTATATGTAAGCTGCTTTCTTTTCCATTCCCATTCAGGAGGTATCAGACTAAACTTTCCTGGCATAACAAACCCGTGGATCGAAATATTTGAATCTGGTCGAGTTTGAACTCACATTAATTCTTGGATGCTGAATAGTGCGCCAGTTTGTTTTTACCTTTGATAGAAAATCAAACAATCAAAGTAGCAGTTTTTTTATATGTAAGCTACTTTCATTTTCCATTCTCATTCAGGTATCAGACTAAACTTTCCTGGCAAGACAAAATCAATGCATATAGATTTTCCATATTAGACCAGAGCATGACTGGCCACGGTATACTTTCTACAATTTAGATAATTCCAAAGAGGGAGGCATCTTTGAGTGATTGCCTATAAAGGGAGATACTGGGTAAAGGAACAGAATGAATAAAGAGGAAAATGGTATAATTTTATTTTAAACTTTTATTAAATGTTTCCCCAATTTAGTATTACTGTTGTTCAAAGTAACACATTGGGCATGCTTGTGTTAACAATCTTCTCCTAGCAGCTACATAGAAACACAGCAATATTTTAGCAGTTTAAAACATACCTTATACCATGGTTTTAGATATCGGCCGATAATCCGATATTATCGCCGAGTTATAGGATTTGGGAGATTTCTGCTAGGATAAGTAGGATTTGTAATCAGTTATCCTTTTATGGGGTTTATCGGCGAGTTATTGGCGATAAAGGTACTTATCGGCCGATAAGGGAGGCTTTAAATATCGGCTTTATTGGGCCAAATTTTGAGTTGAATTTTTGGGTAATGGGCAGTTATTTAGGAAGTTGTTAAACCTGACCCGACTCGCTTTCTACAATTGGTTAGTGATTTTAAACATGATTATTTATATTTTGGAATGTTTATATTTTATTAAATATGGTTAAATTACATTTTTGGTTATTTTATATATATATATATATATATAGAGAGAGAGAGAGAGAGAAATATGGGTATGCTTGGTACCAAGCATAAATTTTGTGCTTGGTAGTGAGGTTATATATATATATACACCATCTAGTACATCACCCCGATAAATACTACTTATCCCCGATATATCCCCGATTACCGCTATCCAATAAGGATTTTGACCGTCCGATAAATCCCCGATAACTGATATTTAATTAAGCCAATTGTGCACTAAATTTGAAGTGCATGATCATTATTTGTTGCTTTACTTATGGAGATACAATAGAGTTTTCAGGGAATAATAATCTTATTGGTATTTACTTTTATAATTATACATTTGCCCCGAAACACGTATACAGGTTGTACGTCTTAAAGACATTGCTCCAATCCTCTAGACATCTGGCAGTCCCATGCGATGATTGAAGGTGACTTGTATGAGTTTGCTTCTAATATTAGCTTATGACCCATTCCATACAACAAATTACCATAATCATTAATTTATAGATTCCTAAAAGGGAAGGATGGTTATGAGGTGACGGCTCATTTTGCTAAATGAGCTACCGAGAGATAGCCATTGTGATAAGACGCACCTTGCTAGGCATATCACAATGACTATCTCTTGGTAGCTCATTTTCTAAATGAGCCGCTACCTCTTCCATCCTAAAATTGATCTTTGCTTCTCCTTCACTGCTGAAATATTTGTCTTGGAAATTATTTTGTTGGTACTCATCATTGTATCACTATGGCCCAAAAGACATCTTGGTAGACTGGATGATTAGTTGAAGATATTTCTGATTATATTGTGCTTCAAAGTCATGTTATTGCTGTTAAATGCATTCCTAGGTGAGTTGAGACTTATTATAATTATGTTTTTAGTGTATTTAACTTTTAGCTGGACCTTATGGGGTATGTAATCTCAGTTTATGCATCATCATATTTGGATGTCAATTGATGCTGGTGTTCTTCACTGAATTTCAATAGATAAGAGGAAACCATCATGGTTGCTTTATAAGTTCTCTTACAAAATTGCGGGGAGTGTATGGCTGTGTTTTCATTGATAAATAAGTAGTTGTCTGATAACTGCCATCTTGTTAAGGTGTTTACATAAGCTGTTGATTAGAGTAGGTGTTAAGATGGATTTATTTTGATGTTTACTACTAACACCAACTCGATCTTGTGCGGGCGCGGGCACCTGCTTTTGTATTCAAAATTTCCTCTATTTGCACAAATCACTTGCATAAACCACTTCGATGAATTTTGATCTGTGTTCTTATTGACAGTGCTGCTATGAGATGGAAACCAGTTGGTTTATGATAATGCTGAATTGATGATGAGTTTGAGAGAATTTTTCGTGATATATTGCTTATACTCTGCACAAGTTGAACCTCCTTTTTTCATTTTATTATTATTTTTTCTTTGCTGCTTATTTGGCTCCTAATGTGTAGATGTAGCTAGTAAAGCAACTGATGAATTATGAGAAATGTAGACACGAAGGATTTCCCCCTTGTTTACGAGAAATTTATGCATTGCAGTTGACTTCGTGTACCATTGATCTGTTATCTTTACATTGATGCATTTCCTTTGTTAATAATTTAGATACCAAGGGTCCAAGCTTTGTATTATTTTGCTCCAATGCTGCTTCTCTTAGTTTGTGCGGAATGCGATGATCTAGTGATTTAGACATTCGAACTTCTGATGTTGTTTCTTCAGACGTTGGAACTTCTGATGTAATGTTGTTTCTCAGGTCGAAATATCATGTAAAAAGCTGGTTCATAAAAGCCTCTAGTTTTGCTTGAAACTGTGGGAGTTCAAGCATTTTATCCCCTTTCATCTGAGATAGAGTTAATTGACTTCGGTTGTTTGAAAGCATTGCTTTCAATAATTTTGTACTTCAAGGTTATCAGTAGAGTAACACTGGCAACTGAAGTTAAAAGAGATGTATTAGAGGATATCGAATATGCTTGAGAAAATTTGAGTTGATAAATTCAAATTGTGTTATTAATACATTATTGTGATGAATTTTGTTGGCTATATTGTTGGAGAAAAGTCGATTTTGCCTTCATGAATAGTCTCACGTGGACTAATGAGATGAATAGTAGAGGATTTATAATGGTTCTCTTCTAATTGGGCTTTGGATATAATTCAAATAGTGTTTTAGGTTTTGTATTGTTTGGGTTTTGCATAATGTACATGCCTTTTTGTTTTCCAATCCTTCTTTTTACACGTTTTTCACATGTGTAACGTCTGCGTGATTTCGGAGATCATGCAAACGGATGAACCTGCACAACGGTTGGAGATCATGTGAGTAGTTACGCGGATTATTAGAAACGTGCGTGAATTTTGAGCAACAGCTCTCAGGATTCCAACCCCTATATAAACAACCCTCCCATTCTCAAAAAAAAAAAAAAGAAAAAAGAAAAAAGAAAAGAAAAGAAAAAAAGCAGTGAACAAAGCTTCTCTCTTCTCTCTAATCTCTTCTGCCTACGAAAATTCCTTTGCGTAAAAAAATTCCGTTACAGTTTAGATTCTTATTTCGAGCAACCGTCTTTATCTGAGCAGAAGCTCTGCACTCTTGTCCGAGTTCAGAGGTCGGTCGATTTTGGGGGTTTTTACCGCTAGGGGAGAGGATCATTTGCGTTAGGACGATAGGCGGGTCCTTAATCTTATAGGGCAGTGCTTACATGACTGCTCCCGGTCAGGCCAGATTTTCTGATAACTTTTTTTTTTCGGATTTTATGCATGCTAACATAACTTTATTTTGATTCTTCTCTAACAAATTCAACAGTGAGATGTTTATTATTGATGGATGGGTTATGCCTGTTAAGTTTGTATTATTGTCAACTAGGGTGTTGGTACTGTCATTCAAGTTTATTATTATTTTTTTCTATTTGCACATGACTAGATTTGGGCATGATTAAGTGGTACTGGCCAAATCATTATTGAGCTTGACAAGAGGGAGGACCAGGACAAAGGGAACTTGTCCCTTCTTTCGGCTAGGGTTGATTTGAGGAACAAAACCCTCTTGGTTGCTTGGATTTTGGCCTCCAACCCCACTTCCATGTGCAAATGGGTGTATCCAAAAGCTTTTCACTTTTTCCTCTCATACATTGCTCTCTTCCCAAATGCCCAACC